AAATAATAGGGAATCAAGGAAAACCTGTTTCTATTGCCACTTTGTTTATAACTTTTTAAGCTTTAAATACAGTGGTATTAGCACTGGATAACAGTTTTTTTTAACAAATGCCCTCCTTAATTTGGTGCCCCTCTTATAATAATTACCCTTCTTATAAGTACTCTTCCTTTTAGCTAAAATTTTATATTAGCACCTGGACACTTATGTGAGGAAATGCCCAGTGTGAGTCATTAAATTAGTAATAATAATCTTTGTTACCAATAAAAAAAATATTATAATCAAGAGATAAGCGTTCTTGTCCTCTGAGCTATTTTTCATTGTTGTTTTTAATCCAGATCAAATAAAACAGCACCATGATAAAACAAGGCAATAATCAGTTTACGTTCCAGATATTCCTTGAAGTACTTACTAGTTCTCTTAGCTCCAAATTAACTTTTTCCTGCTGTCTGATTAAATGTGATTTGTATGCAGCTTGGAATCTGACCATAAGAGGCTGAAAAACAACACAACACCAATCACAGTTATATTGGAAGATTTACAATGAATGTGTATCACATTTAGCCTTCAAAAGACAATATTGACTTACATGGTCAGGATCAAGAACCACCATATCACTCTCCCCATCTGAACCTGATTCTTCTTCATCACTAAGACCTTCATCACCATCTTCACCGATATCACCCTCAATCTCGTCATCTCTAGCTTCCTCACCACTGCCAGTGATATCCTCAGAAAGCAATGTCTGCGCTCCAAGCGCTCCGCGAGGGTCAAACGTTGGAATATCCTGTGTCAAAGTTGCGGTAGGGACAAGACCTTCACTCTCTGCACCGGTAACAACGGTGTCTACATCACTTGGATCGCTCAAACGAAACTCTTTTAGTGCGTTAACGGTCAATTTACTGACTGCATCTTGAATAGACTTTTTGGAATCAGCTGAGCCTTTTGATCTTCCGGATACCGGCCTTCGTTCATCTCCTTTTCCTTCTGAATCAGTGGGTCCGTTTTCACCTAACCTGTCCGCCATATTTCTTCCTTCAAAAACAAAATTGAATTTTGTTTCCTTGGCGACTCTAATCTGGAGCCCGCGATCTTGGTGACGTCATTTACCATTTCCTTATTTGTAAACCTTACATCCTCAGTGATTATGCGTATTTTGACACGAAATAGAAGAAATGGTCCAACATGTAGTGTAGTTACAGCGACTTTCTCAGCCCACTTTGTGTAAAACCGCATTTAAAATGGGTAATCGGTTTAGCAGACAGAATGAGGGAGTCGAAGATATCGACGTTTCCTCGCATCCTTACCGTTATCCTCCGAGTTCAGGTAAATATCTTTCGCTGTTTTTTGGGTTTGACAACATAAGAACGCTCTAGCCTATGTTTGTTATGCATAAGCATTCCCTCCAAATGGTTTCTAACTTAAGGATTTGGTCTGTAGGAAAGAACTTCTTTGCCGATTATTTTCTTATGGGAGGATCGAAGTTTGATACCCCACAGCCAGAGGCGTACCTCTTTGGAGAGAACAGTGATTTGAATCTACTGAATCCCAAGCCCGTGACGGTAAGCGATGTTCATAAGTGCCCGCTTCTAAAGGAAAACTTTTTTAATGGTATTTAACAGCTGTTTCTAAGTTAACATAAGCTGATATAAAATTATTAACTACAGTCATACGAGACACAGCTTTTTGATGCTCTGTGTATTTCACGCTTAATATCACTATCGTGGCTGATTCAGTTTATAAGTTAAATTTTCAGTAGAGCAGAGCGACTTTTCCGCGAGAACAGACTTTGAACACATATCTTACTTAGGGTGACAACGACCGCAATTCACAGTTGTGTGACTTTGAACTCACTCTAGTATGTTAACGAGTTTTTTAAACTATTAGATAGACTCCCTACTCATGAAAAGCAGTGATTCTCTTTGAAAAGGATCAAATTTCTAATCTTGTTGACGTTTTTTTGTCAGAGGAAAGTAAACATAATGTACATTTATGCTTTACAATGTCTCAGTAAAACATTCTAAAGGAAAGAACACATGGTGTTATTACTAAGGAAAGTTATTTTTCGTCTATCAAATTTTGACGGGAAAGTTTTATCCTTTAAGCTGGAGTAAAATAAGATAGCGTATGATGCAAATTGACTTTAAATTTTAGGAATGAATGCATTATAACTTCACAAGTGCAACAGAGTATAATAGTTTTTTTTCTAAGCGTCTCCCGGCAGACCTGACTGCCATACATTTAATTTTTCCCTTCTAAAAATCATTTACAGCATTAGTTATCATAGAAGATGTTGTTGTTCATCATAATTACATGGATAAATGAACATTTAAGTGGTTGTCATAATTAAGGTAGCAAATGGTATATTTCAATATCTTCTCTGAAAAACACACCAGCTGTTGCAAATGTTTGGAGCTCAATTCTTATTTTAGAAGCATGTGATTATGCTGCCTATTTTATCACAGTCCAGTTACTCAAAATCTTTCTGATAACCCTGTGAGTTGTTTTTTGAATTAATTTTTAGCACAAAGTTTAAATAAATGTTGTGGGCATGGTAGCATCAAAGAGGTATTAACCCTATCACTCCCTAGAGTGATCAAGAAAAAAATTATCTTTACAATATCAATACAAAATCAAGCAGACAAGTGATGAGAACAAAATAAAATGTTACTTTGAGGATTATGAGTTCATCCAATACCAAATTTTCCAAACTACATTTTACAGAAGAATTGTATAGCAGACAGAAAGAAGAATTTCTCACAACATCATGGGAGAGAAAAGGTTACAACTTCTGAGACCTGAGCTGAAGTCACTTTTAAGGTCTGACTGACATATGGACTGCAGCCCAAGTTGTGAAAATGTCAGCCATTATCATCCTGTGTCCATTTGAAAATTCTGATAAATAATCTTTTTGATTTTATTCAAGCAATAATTTTTTTCTTTTTTCTGTATTTTCATTCCCAAGTTTCCATACAGGCAGCCAATAGACAATGAACCAACAAAAACACTAAGAAGTCTTGTGAATTTAAGGAAAGACTCATTAAGGCTTGTGAAGTAAGTATGTTGCTCTCTTACATAATTTTTTATTTTGCATTTCATGTACCTACTGGTAATCCTTGTGTTCCCACTTGGAAATTTTAAATCAGGTTTTCAGTGCATTTTTATGTGATCTTATGTTAATAATATTTGTTTTGATAGAAGCTTAGATCAAGAAAGCTATGGAATTGAGTTTGTTTTTGATGCGGATGTGAAGTGTGCAGTAGCAGTACATTACATGGCAACAGAAGACTTGTCCACAGGCTTAGCAATGTAAGTTCAAAAGTTGGATGGCAAGAAATACTCTCTGCTGTCAATCAATGGTCTTCCATGTATGTCATATGATTTTAGCTCAGAGAATTTAGGATCTATTGTTATGAAAAATTTAACATAAGGGCCAGTTATTTACAGGAGGTACCCAAACTGTGGTTTTACACAAGAAGAGGGTGTAGGGATTCTCTATAAGAGGGTTGATTTAATGATATATAGATTTAGCCAAGCCTAAAAACGGAGCTTGCATTTTTTTTTCCCGCACGTCTCAAGGGCACAACACCTTACCCTGGCCAGGACTAGAACCCAGGTTGTCCAACTTGGAGCCCAGTGCACTGACCACTGGACTACTGGACAAAGCCGTGGCATTGGTGTGCCCGCAGTACACTTGACCACACATGTTAAAAGTAGCACCTTGTATGGTTGTACAGTCATACGGTTGTACGGCCGTACATCCAAATTTTTTCAGCCTGATGGGTTACTGCTATTTTGTATAATTATGGGGCTATGCAAGCTCCACTATAATAAATGCCTTTTTCCTTTTTAATTGAGTAGCTTTCAGCCCTCTTGACACTGTTTACAAAAAGAAATATTTAGATAATAGGTTCAGCTAAATTGAAGATGGCTTAGAACACAATTTTGTTAAACAACAGCTAACATTTGCATTGGTGGCCCTAATTTTTGCAAAATCTAGTTCCTTTTAAGATATATTTTTTGTCAAAATCACAAAATTAAGGTTCTGCGTAACATGCCCATTCCATTTTCTAAAATTAAGTTATTGCAAAAATAAATTACAATAAGGTACTTGAACAGCAAGTTAAATATTTAGAGAATGACACATGGACGTGCGTGGATATGGAATTTCTCTTTGAGTGTGTAACTCAATAGCTTACAAGTGAGTGCAGCAAACAAGTGAGATGTTGAGTTGAACAAGAGAAATTTCCTATACACAAGCAACCATGTTTTATTTTGTTCATCATATAAATACAATAGCCCTTTACTAACAAGAAAAGTCAACTTTATTTATGAGTGAAAATAAAAGTATTGACAATCCCCAAATAAGAATCATAAATTACATTGGCGCTAGGGCTCAAGATGAAAAACTGCATTGAAACACTATGAAAACAAACAATGGGTGTAGTTTTCAATATACAAAATTCTTAGTTATTGACTTGGTCCTTGCCAACAGAAGAAATCTTTCAGGTGCGCTGCCAAAATTGGTTTGTGTTAAATCTTCTAGTTGTTGATTTTCACTCTCAGCTGCAAGAATGCCATTACCAAAGTTTCCCCTTCTAGGAAAGTTTGAAAATCACTGTCTGTGAGCAATACAAATTTTTCAGTGTTTAACAGCCATAGTGGTGAAGGCTTCACCATTCATTCATCAATCTAAACAAGTAGCCTGAAAGGCAAGTGACTTGTCAGCAGCTGATTGGCGATATCACATTTGAGAAAATATTGTATTTTTTCATGTGTTGTTTTGGCTTTTCTTAGGGCTGGAAATCCTTGTATAACATCATAGTTTACATGATAAAACTGGTTACCAACTCTGAACAAGAACCCTACCTGGGTAGTAGACTTGTTTCAATATTATATGGTCTCTTTCATTTCAGCTACACATCACAAGAGCCACTCACATCTTCACCAAAGACACACTTCCCAAAGGGATCAGGTCAGGTGTATAACAGTTCTCCTAAACACAAGATCAGACCTAGTTTATTTTCTGAGGAGGAGGTGAGTTGTTATTATCATTGGCCAAGTTGTAAATTATCAATGGACTGATAACACAGACAAAATTCTTTTTCTACACCAAAATCACTGTATCCTATTTGCCAGGTATTTGTAGGGTGGTGCTTTTGAAATTGAGTTTATTCTGATATCAGGGTCACCACCCTAGAATTTACTGTGCATTGACTCATGAAACAGTGGTTTAATTTTTCAATAGATTGATAATATAATTGATGAGATAAGACTGACAAAATTATTTTCTATACCATGAACACTGTATGCTATTTGCCAGATATTTGTAGGGTGGTGCATGTGATTCTGAGTTTATTCTAATTTAAGGGTCACTACCCTAGAATTTACTGTGCATTGACTTATGAAGCAGTGGTAACATATACTCTTTAAGAAACCCTTTGACCCCTATAGTAACTGGCATGTAATTTCTCCCTTCAATATCATCCCCTCGTTTCACATTAAGGTCGCTAGAATAAAGGAAATTGCACCAATTTAAGAGGCTTCTGATTTTCAAACAAATTCTCCTTGTTAGCACCTTCAGAGATGTATGAAGAACAGTATTGAGAATGTGCACACTGGTGTGTTGGGGTGTTAAGGTCCAAGTGAAGAAGTTCTATATCATTTCTCTCCAAACACTACTCATAGAAAACTTAGGTAGATGGGAACACTTCATGTGTACTATAATATTATAGGTGTAAACTTTAAAAAATTAACTGCATGGCTTCCCCAGTGGCACAGGTACTGGCAAGGTGTGAGTGTGGTGCTACACTAAACATGACTTAAAATGTTTGTAAATGCACTCACAACTCACAGAAGTACGTTTTTCCTCAATATCATCCCTTTGTCATTTCTTATCACATTTTATGGGCTATATGTACATCTTTCTGTTAGCCTAGCGAGTAAAAGGAATAGACTCCTGGAAAAAAGCCCTTAGTATTTGTAGTAGACTTTGAGTTTCTCTTTTCAGATTGTCCTGTATTCTCTTTTG